CTCCCTCTCCCTCTCCACCTCTCCTCTCTCTCCCCTCCCTCCGCTCCTGTAAAATAGGGCTTTCCAGAGAGGCTGAATCAGTGGGACTTAACAGGCCACACAGTAGAAGCTCCCCTGCAGGTCAACTCTGACCTTCTTGCTGTCCTTGTCCGCTGTTGTGCCCCAGCCCTGAGTCCCCGAGAAGATCACTACTCATGTATGCAACACACAAGAGCACTTTACTAACACAGCATGCAGTGGGTCTGCCAATCAGAGATTGGAGACCTCGAAAAGCAATTTCAAGCCGCTTTTATAGGGTTTGGGATACATTAGTCTTTTTGTTTTGTTTGTTTGTTTGTTTTGGTTTTTTGAGATAGGGTCTCACTATGTAGTCGAGACTGACCTGGAACTCACTATGTAGCCCAGGCTGGTCTCGAACTCGCAGCGATCCTCCTGCCTCAGCCTCCTGAGTGCTGGGATTACAGGTGTGCACCACCACAACCAGCAACATTAGTCTTAGTAACAAACTTTACCTCTATTATGATTGGTTAGTTATTACATTTAAATCCTATTGGCTATTGTTGGGGTGCTGAGCTATCCGGGTGGCGGAGTTTCAAGGATGCCAGGTGGTCTTATCTAATGGTTTTATACATTCTGTTGTTTTCTCAGGAACTAGTTTGCTTTGTTCAGCAGTCACAAGACGATTGGGTTCATTTTTAGGTCAGGCCCAGTATGAAATGGAGCCTTTTATTACAATATGGAGTTACTCTGGCCTCCACATTCCCCCCTTGAGTATGGAACTTTGAGCTCAATCGTGGGCTCATCATGGGCTCATATATTATATCTTCTATCTCTGGGGGAATTCCTTGGTACTGTGATTTTAGCACCAAGAGTTGCACTGCTGGTACCTGTTCTTTGACAAAAGTGACCAGCTTGTTAAGTATGTAGGGGCCAAAGGTTAGTAGCAAAATCAAAATGACTAAGGGTTCTATTAAGGATGAAACCAGGGTAGTCATCCAGGGGGTTACAGGTTGAACAGGGTATTACATTTTTTTTTTCTGGTGTCCTCAAGTACTTGGGAGACTCATAACATGGTCCACAGTCACCCTTACCAGGGCAGTGTCTTGCTCCAGTTGTAGTGTAGTCCCCATAGCAGGTTACTGTGATAAGGTCACTTTTGACTGGTGCCTGCCATGTCATCTATCCTGTTGATTCGCAGCCCCAGGCCTTACAGAAGAAGTGATCCGGTCTTCCACACTCACATTGTCTCTGGCATGACCTGGAGTGTCCTGGGCAGACATAGAAGTGTCTTTTGTGGGCGTCACCTCAATTTACAGGAGTTTTACATCCATAACCAGTGTGAGGAGGCTGCAGTGGTCGAGGGGGCCATTGGTCAGCTGGATCCCAGTCTGTGGTGACTAGATCACAGAGGTCAACTTGTAAATCTGGAAACCAGGAGGTAGGAGAAGCCAGCTTGGGAGTAGAATTTGCTAGAGCCCGTTATCTTATTATAGATGATCTAAGTCACATTTAAGGGTTGGTGTGGACTCACTTTAATAGAGAGACCTGTTGGATCAAAAACAAACAAGCAAGTTAGAAACAAGGCAGCTAATCTCCAACGTTTTGGTCCTCTATATCGGGGGCCTCTCTCCTTGGTGTCTGGCTTCTTTTTGTTATCCGAAGTTTGAGTGTGGGTTGGTTGGGTGTCGTCGGATCTTACAGTCTGTTTGGGGCATTGTCCCCATTGCCTTGACTTGGTTGTGATGAATATATGCTGGAATCCCATCAACCTTTACAGCCGATGGAGTCACAAGGATCACGGTGTAGGGCCCTTTCCAACGGGGTTCAAGATTCCCAACTCAATGTATCTTTACCAGTACTGAATCACCCGGCTGGAATGGATGGGCCTCTGGTGGTGTTATTCCTGTAAAGGTTGCTTTTACTTCGGGCCAAAGGGCCTCCTGAGCTTTAAACAATGCTCGTAAGGCAAAAAGAAAGTTTTGATTATCAAACTCAAGTAACATTTCGGAGCGTATATTAGGGAGTAAAGGTGGGGACCTAGCATACATGATTTCATAAGGGGTTAAATTAAGAACATAGGGAGTATTTCTTACTCTAAAAAGAGCACAGGGAAGGAGAGTTACCCAATCACTGCCAGTCTCTAAGGTTAATTTAGTTAAGGTTTCCTTTAGGGTCCGATTCATTCTTTTTACCTGTCCAGAACTTTGGGGATGATATGAGCAATGTAATTTTCAATTAGTCTCCAAACTTTAATTAGCCCTTGGGTTACCTGAGAGATGAAGGCTGGTCCATTACTATATTAGCTGTTTCATGTTTAGTCGGGTATGCCGCAGTCCATCCAGAAAATGTATCTATGAACACTAATAAGTATTTATATCCATACATACCTGGCTTAATTTCAGTAAAATCTATTTCCCAATTTATCTCAGGTTTTGATCTTCTCATTTTGGTAATTGTTTGTATAGATCCATGTTTTGTATTAACCAGCTTGCAAGCTGTACATTTATTTATAACTTGGTTAAGTTTTGGTCCAAGGCCAAAGATCTTTACAGGGGACTTTCTTATTAATTCTTTAATTTTTCTTTTTCCCAAATGTGTTGACTGATGTATCTGTTGGAGCAAACTTTGTGCATAGTTAGAGGGCAAAAGAAATAACCCCTGAGAATTAACATACCAGCCATTTTGTTGCTTCTTATATCCTGATGATTCCGCATATTGTATCTCTATTTCCTAATATTTAGGTTTTTCTGGCAGTATAGGTTCTATTAGGCTGGGCTGGAGGGCCAGCGCCATCGTAGGCCTTATAGCTGCACCCTTGGCTGACTGGTCTGCAAAATTGTTACCTTAGGCTATTGAGTCTCTAGTCCTTCGATGTCCAGAACAATGCATGATAGCCACACGATGGGGTATAGCAGCCAGTAAGTCTAAAATCTCTTGTTTATTCTTGATGGTCTTTCTCTTGGCTGTTAGTAGTCCTCTTTCTCGATAGATGGCCCCATGAACATGAATGGTCACGAATGCATAGCGACTGTCCATGTAAATGTTTAAGACTTCTCCTTGTCCAAGTTGGAGGGCTTTGATGAGGGCTATTAATTCAGCTTTTTGAGCTGATGTCGCAATAGGTAGGGCCTCTGTCCAAATTACCTTAGTCTCTGAAGTCACTGCTGCTCCAGCATGTCTGACTCCGTCCTTCATGAAGCTGGACCCATCTGTGAACCAATTTGCCTCCGGTTCTTTCAGCGGAATGTCAGTTAGATCAGCTCAAACACCTTGGAGGCTGTCCAATATGGTCTCACAATCATGTAGAGGACCTTCTAAATCTGGACCCAGTAGCAATGTTGCCAGGTTGAGAGTTGTTGCTTTCTGAAATTGGACTTGTGGAGGGTTTAAAAGTAAGGCCTGGTATTGAACTAGTCTAGCATTTGAAATCCATCTATCTGGAGGGCTCGCCAATATTCTCTCCATGGCATGTGGGGTGGTGATTGTCAAATTTTGGCCCATGGTCAATTTGTCCATCAATTTTGTCCCATCTTTAGTCAGAAGTGCTGTGGTGGCAACAATGTGCAAACATGGTAGCCATCCGGCTGCACTGCATCAATTTTTTTTAGACAAATAGGCCACTGGCCTTTTCCAGGGGCCTAGTGCCTGGGTCAATATTCCTTTTGTAATTCCTTCGTGTTTATATATAGTTGAAAGGGTTTAGAGACATCTGGTAAAGCCAGGGCAGGTACCTTAAGTAGAGCAGACTTTATAGCCTTAAAGGCCTTTTTCATTTCATTTCTATTTAAGTGGGGATTGTTCCCTGGTTGCCTCATTTAGAAGTTTTGCCAATTCAGTGAACCCAGGAATCCAAAGTCTACAAAACCCTGCTGATCCGAGGAACTCTCTTACCTCACGGAGATTTGTTGGTTGTGAAATCCGAAGGATGGTTTCTTTATGAGCTGTGGACAAGTGACATTGTCTCCCCTTGAGTATGTAACCTAAATAGGTTACTTCTGATTGGCATAGGTGGGATTTTTTTTTTTTTTAAATCCGATAACCCAACTTGTCAAGGGTCTGTAAAATGGCCTCCGAAGCCCTTGTGCATTCTTCCATAGTCTGTGTAGCCAATAACAAATCATCAACATACTGTAGAAGAGTCACGTCTGGGAACATTGTCCTGTACTCACCCAGGTCATCGTGGAGTGTTTCATCAAAGATGGTGGGCGAGTTTTTGAAACCCTGTGGGAGTTGAGTCCAAGTTAATTGTCCATTGAATCCCTTCTCTGGGTCTGTCCACTCAAAGGCAAAGAAGGGCTGGCTTTGTTTTGCAGTGGGAGGCAGAAGAAAGCATCTTTCAAATCAAGCACCGTGTAAATCTGTCTATTTTGGGGTAAGGAGCTAAGAAGAGTATAAGAGTTAGGCATAGTAGGGTGAATATCTTCCACCCGTTTTTTATTTACTTCTTGCAGGTCTTGTACTGGTCTGTAGTCCTCCGAGTTTGGCTTCCAAATGGGGAGCAGTGGTGTGTTCCAGGCAGACTGGCATGGGGTTAAGAGCCCCATCTCTTTTAGTTTCCGGATATGGGGCATAATTCCCTTTTTGGCTTCCATTGGTATCGGATATTGTTTAAAATGGACCAGGTGCTATGGGCCTTGAGCTGAACGATTATCAGAGCACAGTGTTGTGCAAGTCGAGGTCCCCCGATTTCTGCCCATACTCCTGGAATTTCTTTTATCCATTTTTTAAGGAGTGATTTGTAGCTCTTGATCATTAGGCAATGGGAGTTCCTGTACAAGCTTATATTCATCAGTTAGATTAGGGTTAGAGCATGAATTGGCTCATTATT